CAAATCAGAACTGGTAGGTGCTGAGATGTTACTGGGAGAATGGCAAGTCTGTTTTGTAATATAGAATTCTGAGACCTTGACCTATCTAATTTCAGGAAGCAATAGGATAAAATTCTGCAAAGAAAATGGTTGCTGGCAATATCAAAATGATCCAGAGGTTTCTCCCTTTCTTATGAGTAGATTTCATCTGTGATTCACTAATCATTTTGATTTAAAAAGGCTCCTTTTCAGAATTGGGTAACATTTTAATTAAATATTTGAAAACCTGCTGAATACTGTAATTGCAATTTAAAAGCTATGAATTAGGAAGGTAAAAGCTTTTATCTACTCTCCAGACATCTTTTTTTTTTTTTTTTTCCCCATAAAGCTGTCACTGGAATTCTTTAGAAATATTCACTCACTGAAGTTAAGTAGGACAGTGGGTTTGGGCTGATGGGATCCTGCACTTCTCAGCTGCCAGGGGGAACCCAGGCCAGTCACAGCCAAAATCAGACCCACTGGCCCAAGAGAAGACAGTCTGGTGACTTCAGGAGCAACTTCAGCACACTGTCCATCCCTCTTCTGCAGGAAGGGACCAATATTTTCTGTATTTTTTTATCACTAGTCTTCTCCACTTGGTTTCAGAGTTCTTCAGGGTGAGGCTATAACTTAATGTGTGTTTGTGCAGCACTGAGAACTCTGGTAGCTAATTCTGAGCGACATATCCAGTCTCTAACAGAACATAAACAGCACTAGCTAAAAATTAAGTGTTTTAGATACATATATTTATAAGGGCATTAATACTGTAAGCGTTTTTATAATCCAGCAGTGACTGGCATTGCCATGACAGCTGATCCCTGTAATTATTAGAAATAATTTTAATACAGAAAAGCTTCCTATATAATAGATAGCCTCTTTGCTGCAGCAATTGATTTTATTTATTTATCTGGTCTATTTATACAGCTTCTTATGCTGATGGTAGGTAGAACAGTTTACTTCCTGTCAACATATCTGTTAAATTTTTATAAAGAACATCAGGAGCAAGCTGAAACAATAAATTATCTAAAAGGTATAATGTTAAATTGGTGCTTAGGTTTTGGATACAATTTATCTAATATGACTGCCATAAATATGACATCCCACAAGCCAAAATGTCTCTGGTGGGTCTGAGGACAAGAGCACATTCATCTGTAAGAGAAGAATGGGTTTAGATCCAACCTTGCTTTGATAACTGCCAGGACATACCAAAGCAGACCTTTTAACAAAATATCATCTTAAATATGAAGTTTGTTACATGCTGTGCATTCTAAAATATTTCTGTTCGACAAATAAAGATGTCTACTCTTTACAGCTAGTTTATAAACCTGACCTTGTGAAATAAATATTCCATTTTTGTTTCATACAGTATCAGCTTTGCAAAAATGGTTGAACTGGTTTCAAAGGTTATTTTGCTCCAACACTATCCTTTCCTGGAGGTTACTGACCTCCATGAGATGAAGGATATTGGGCTCACCCAACAGCTCACCCAAGTTTGTTTAAACCACCTTCATCTGCAGCTTAAAAATAGGTCAGTTTGATCTGCACCACAGCAGTTTTTGCTGTGCAGGAGCAGAGCTGAGTGTAGGGACAGCTCATCACGTTGGGGCTCCTCGACAGGGTCAGATGAGAGGGAATAATTCTTTGCCTTCACTGCAACCTGTTTGTTGCAAAGTAATGAGCTGGGCTTCGGTCACTGACTCTCTTTAAGCCTGTCATAAATCAGGAGTCTCTTCTCAGAGGTTTTTTTCTGCATTTGATTTAAACCTCTCTCTGCCTCAACCCTCACTTGAATGTCTCGGAGGCCGATGTTGCACTGTTTGAGGGTAATAAATAATGGGCCAAAACCAGAGAGACAATGGAAGCTCAGCTGCTGATACAGGATGGTAATTCACTGCTCACCATGCACCTTTTCCTGCTAAAATAAGGCTGGGAGGGATGGAAGGTTGCCTTTGGAGCTCTTGCCTGTGTCAAGCAGACTGCAACCTCACCACCAGACCATTAATCAAGCCTCAAATCCCATCTTTTTTTCCCCTCCATTTCAGTTCTCAAGTAACAAGGTTATTTTTCAGGTTGATGCTGACTAGATTATAAATATGCCCAAAGGCTGTCCCAAAGTACTCAGTAAAAAGGAAAACCAGGCACACTGGGCTCAACAAGCCCTAGACCAGAGCTGAGTTTGATAAAGACTGAATTTGATGAAGGCTGAAGGGACCCTGTCCTGCTGGTCCCTGGTCAGCTGGAACCTTCCTGTCCTGGTGCCAGGCAAGTTGTCCTGCCTGCCAGTGAGTTTGAGATTCTCTGGACAGCAAGAAAGCTGAATTACCAACTCCAAAGCATTAATATAATGATCAGAATGAGGTAATCCAGGGCTCTCTCAGCCACTACCATGACTGTGCAGTACTCAAGGATTCCTGCTTGGGAAGGCAAACATTCCCTGCTGTTCCCTCATCGTGCAGATCACACAAAGCACTCCATTACAGCTCCATTCAGATCGGGTCATCTCCAAGGGCTGGGGGTTTTTCAGGAAAGCAATCCAGATTCACAGGCTTTTTATACCCAGGGATGCTCATCACCCAACTGCCCAGCTCCTTCAGCAGCTTCACGTGTCCCACCTGAAACACTTGGTCCACATCCATATCCTTAAAACTAGTAATGCCTGGAATATCAGGGCAAGTACCCTTGTGTGAGCCAGGCTGACTCCAGTGTTACCTTGCTGATTTAGAAATTTAAAAGACATATGTGGACAACAATTCATCAAAAGCTGAATGTCAGGAACTTGCAACCTTTTCAAGAAATTTCTGAACAGACACTGAGCATCCTGCATGTGGTTTTTCAAAGTAAAGTTAACATACTATTCTAATAATGAATTTATCAGCTCTGGGACCAACATCTCACCCTGTGTGGCTTGTACTGCCCTTACTGGTGTAGGACCCTGCAGGGTTCTCAAAAGCTGGAATGCTGATATGCCATGAGAATAAAAGAAATGTATTGGAGAAAGGTAAGGTGAGTGCAGCAAGTGTCCTAATAACTTCAGAAGAAGGTAGGCATTGCCAGTGTGTCCTGATGCCAATATATATAAATGTCTTTTCATTGCAGCATTTTGTAACTTAGAAAAAAAAAATCAGGAATCTTTAAATTGACCAATCTTCTGCTTTGTAATTTACAAATCCATAATAACAGCAAGCAGGAAAGATTATGGAATACAAAGATGGTGCAGAGGTGGCATGTGCAAGTCTATTAAAAAACCAAAGCTCTGCCTAATGTGAAAGCATTAAAATTGTTCTTTTGAAAGATTAACCTATAATTGAAATATCCAAGAGCATTTCTCTTTGGTCCTTCTAAACATGAAATTACATGTTCTTCTAAGACGACCAGTAAAAAAACCAACCCAAATTACCCCCAGTCTCCAAAACCAGAGAAAAAATATAATGCTTTATTTTCTTTGTGGTTCTTTCCAAATGGAAGAGGAGAATGTTTTATTTTAATTTCTATTTGCAAATTATGAACTGGCTTTGCAAAGACCACAGGGAAAACTGAAGTACCAAACTAATCTAAGTTAGACATCTTGAAAGGTCTGCACCTGAATCATCATTTCCTAAGAACAAAGAAAAGAACCACAAAGATTTGGAGATTTGTGATACCCCAGAGTTTCTTCCCTGACACTCCAGTTAATGCAAAGAAGGTTAAAACTATTCCCAGTCTGTGTCAGTAACTCCCTGACACTTATCTTTGCTTTCTCTCTTACCCATTATCCCAACACCTGTTGCCTTGCAAAAAGCCACCTCCTTTATAACTTTATAGACTCCACGAGACCTCTGAGCACAGAATTTTGTGCTTCTGGAAAATGGGCTTTTTTTCATCTTTAATGGAAATTAAGAGAGTGAGCTGATTTGTAATAACTGCCAGGAGAATCTATTTTTGTTCTTAGGAGCTATTTTTTGCCAATATATCACTTGATAATAAAGCAATCATGGGCATGTATGAGAAGAACTGTACTTTTCTGCCACCATTGGAACCACTAGGAAAAAAATCTTTTGTCTTCTCAATTAAATATGGAGTGAATAAAAACCCCCAACATCTCAGATTATGTAGATCAGATCATCTCTACAGTCTTAACCCTGCACATCAGGGTCCCATCACAGACCTGAATTAACTAGACGAACATCCAGGTTACATTTTTTTAAATGCTCTGAGATTGATTTTTTTTTCTTTCAGCACTAAGTAACGTGTTAATATTTTTCTAACAGATTGTCCAAGAACAAAAATGGGGCACAGCTAGACCTTAGACAAGTATACCCCATCCTTGATGAAGAAATGTAAGGGAGAGAGAAGAAGAAATGCATAGAATTTCTGTTTGTACTCAGAATTTGGGTATCTAACAGTTTTTTTAGATAAGAACAAGGCTAAAGGATCGGGTGTTTTTCAAGCCCTGTAGTTTGCACCATGGGGAAAACTCTTTGAATGCATTTATGCAGAACAGACAGTTGGCTAACCACTGGGTTTTGTGTTCCCCAGGTAATTAAAAAATACTCAGAAATCATGCTATTAATTTTTTTTTCCTTCTCTCATATCAATGGATGAGGAGTCAGAATTCAAAAAACTGGGAAAACTGTCATTCAGGAAGTCCAGACCAGGTGTGGGAGTACTCGTGATTCAAGTCAGACACAAACAACACTGCACTGAGTGTCCAAGCACACCACTGCCTGCATCCAGAGTGAGCCCTGAGCAATGGGAATGTCATGAACTCAGCTTCTGCCTCCAGCAAGCTGGTGCATCAGTGAAGGAATATGACTCAGCCCTCCATGGGAAGCTGTGGCCTCCCCTCAGGTGGTTTCACCACTGAACAAAGCAAACTTCCCAAGTCAGGATCTGTTTCTCGAGGTGCTGAAACTCTCTGTCCCTCCCTCCCCTTTTGCATCTGGCAGACGGCAGAGCTGGAAAGCAACATGGAAAAACTTGCAGAATGCCAAATAACTTCTTACCATAGCCAGAGGGAGAACTCCTACCAGATCCTTCTGGTTTACGTAGATCTTGGAGATTCCGAGGTCGGATGTTGTGTCTCCGGGATATTCCACCTGCCACGTGATGAGCTGGGTCTCGGGTGGGTCAGTTAAGTCTTCAATCTCAAAATCAATCTGCATGATTTCAGAGGAAGGCCCATCAGCACTGCAAGAAAGAGAGGAAAAGAAATGTTCCGTTCACATAACTGATAAGCCAGCAATATAATTGCTTTTATATTAATATAACATTGGATTAAGGCTCCTTCGAAGAGAGGATTTAGTGGGATGATGGATTTAATAATGAATTAATCATTTCCACTTGTCTTAAGATTTCAGGGTATTTCCCACAAATTCAAGTGGCTTAGTAACACTCTGTGACATGGATCACTGTGCACTGCTCCATTTTACAGGTGGAGAAACAGAACCAAACCAAGGCAAAGCAAAGGCTAAAACTCCAGCCTAAACTGGCTCCGAGGCTCTCCCTTTAACAAGCACTTTGTATTTCCTCCCTGGTAAAGCAGCACATGAACAAATCTAAAGGGAATCACTCCTTGAAGCAGGAAACCACTGCATCAAAAGTATTTTCTGCTTTTTAAAGAGAGAGGTATGGAAGAAAGGTCAAAGCTCGGGATGGGGTCCGTGAACAAGGGCAGCAGGGAGCAGGGGACTGGAAAACTTGGAATTAATTTTTGGCTGTACTGCTACCTTGCTGTGAATGTCTGTGTGAAGCTCCTTTTGTCCTTTGTGAAACCAGGAATTATAGATAATTGAGCTTGTTGTGATAGAGGAAAGTTACAAAACTGGATTATTTAATATTGGCCAATCCTGCCAGGACCCTTGAGTAGAAAACACTAGAGAAGAACAAAGAGTTACTAGATGTGATATTCTGGCAACACTGGGGATGCTGGCACCTTACCAATGCTACTTTGGCTTTGCTTGCTGTCCTTCCTAAGGTTACATGGCAAGTGAAGGCCATAAGGCAGAAATGTAAAGAGGGAAAAACTGGAAAGGGGCTCATAGATGCAATTCCCACAAAGCTTGTTTTTTATAAAACCAGCTACTGTATGGAAAGCAACAGAAGAGAGAAACAAGAAAATACTCAATTTACTGTAAAGTTGTTGAGGAAAGCAGAATTTCTGAGTGCAGAAATCCAGGGAACACCAAAAATGCCAGCGTTTTACTTCGGAAGCACTGACTGCTGAACTGATCTCCAGTGTTTGCGTGGAGGGGAAAGGAAAGAGCAGAATTTCTTTCCAAGGGATAACCCTCAAGGAGAGAAAGACTGGCACAGCACTGAAGTGTCACAAGCCATTTATGTTGGAATGTGCCACTAGAAAAGAGAACTCATTTCAGCTGCTGATTAGAGAATCCCAGAATGCGCCCAAACCCCAGCAGGTTTTCCCAGCTGATGTGGGAAAAGAGCTAAAACTAAGCATATATTTTTATGAAGACCAGTTATGACAACAGTCCCAGTTTGGGACTCTTCCCAAAATGCTCAGAGATTTCTATCATGCTGGCTAAATCCAGTGCTTTACCCAAAGCTACTGCTTGAAGAGGTTAATCTGATCATCTATAAGGTTTGGATTTTAATGGATACACTGAGTTCTTTCTCTCCTGGATGGAATTTAAAACGAGCCTCTGTGTCTCCAGAATGGAACACATTGTGTTCAATTTTTCATTTCTTCATGTCGGGGGGGGGGGGGGGGGGGGGAAAAAAAAAAAAAAAAAAATTTTTTAAACAAATAAAAAGAAAGTATTTTTTTTTTTTTTAGGGAGCGGGGAGGGAGAAAAGTGTGT